GTTTTCTGTTCTTTATGTGGAAATGTCCTTTTGGGGGCCTGCCTAGGTTGTAAAGTTACAGTGGTATCAGCCCTTTCTGCAAGCCCCATTGTGTTCTGTGTGTCTTTCTCTCTGCACTGTGTAAATCAGAATGCTACTAAGGTGTGTGAGAAAGCCATTCTTATTTAATGAGAATTGTTCCAGAGTATATTCCATTTTACCATTACCAATGCCTCTGCAACAAATGTTCACAACCAGGCAATGCACAGTGATTACTGATCTCAAAAATTTAAATGTATGTGTGAGTTATTTTAGGGGAGTAGCACACCATTTCCTGAAAATTATAGGGTATTCCTTTTCTTTCAAGAAACAGCTGGATGAGATCATTGGATCAATTATTTATTTAAAACCAAATATGCTAGATGAACCAAATAACTGCATGTTCTATTATGCACTATTATTGGATTGGACTAGCTTAATTATTTGCATTGTAGCACCAATTATTCAATATATTAAGCAGTTCTGGATTTAAAGATGCATTACACATACTGTGAAAATGCACCTCCTGAGGACCTGGATATATGCACTAGCTATTGATCGAATGGCTTTTGTTTTTGCAGACCTAAATGATATGTTCCCAAGAGAAGTTTTATCCATCTGTGCCAGAAGTTTAAATGCTTCTACTTCTGCCTTAAATTACATCCACATGAGCCCCCCGCCCCCACTCGCTATTTCACCTACTTTTGCAAGTTCTTTTTGATCGACAATAAACTATATTTATGACCTCTTTAAGCGAACAGTGTTATACCCTAATACCTTCCTGCATCACAGTGTTAAATTTTTAAACCAAGTGAGTAAATTTTTAACCAAGTGTGTGGTCAGCAGAGTGCCATTGTCAGCAAGTAGCCTCAATAATAACACTGTATTTCATTCAATGACTTAATATGCCTGAAACATATTCGACCTCTTTGACCTGGACTAGTCTATAAAACAGATAATGATGAAAAGAATCTGCCCTTCTATCCCGCTCAAGTACATACAGTTTGTGAGCACCTGCGCCAATACCTATTTGAAACCTTATACTGTATATTACATTGAGAGGAAAAGGCAGTGCCTTCTTCTTGAGGCAAATCATGGAATAAATCCTCAGACCACTTTTGTTACCAATAAAAAAGGTAGCTTTGTGAATAGTTTGGATTGGTTTATGGGGAAAAATAGTAACATGAATTAGTAATAGATTTGGAACAAATGCAACACTGTACAGACTTCATGGAATACCATTCAGTGTGAGGATGACATGAAGGTACACTTCCAAGCTTTATGCATGAAGGTGACAGCTGTACAGAAGCCCCAGGCACTTGGTGAATATTGGAATTTTTCACCAATTGATTGCTTATGATTTTAAAGCTCACCCCGTAATCATTTTATTGTGGTTTGAGTAGGTAGCTGTGTCAGCATATGCTGCAAAGGAACAAGTAAAGTTTATTCCATGTTGAGAAGAGAAGAAAAGAAACAACGTTTTGGCTGTGGAGCCTTCTTCAGTTGACACCTGAATCATGTAAAGGTGACACCTGAAGAAGACTCCACAGTCGAAATGTGTTTCTTTTCTTCTCTTTTCAGCATGGAATAAAACTTTACTTGAGCATATCTTGTATGTTAAGACTACGTTAAGATGTCCATCCTTGTGTTGATATGCAATGTATGATAACAGCACGGTAGGACCAGACAACACCTTTAACACGTTTTTATTGTTCATGCCAGCAGCCACTGTTGTCACCAGGATTCAAATAGACTGTAACCTTACTGAACAGTATCAAATTACTTATCTTGGTCACTGAAGATGGGAAGTTGATATATTTTCTAAACTGAAGTGAGAATTAACCTGAGCTTTGCTGATTGACTTCCACAGACCTGTGTTCAGTGGAGGAGTGATGGTGCAATGCGCAATGAATCCTCAACTCCATCAGAACTTATTGTTGTACCAAGTAGTATAACAATGTCTGGTATATGGAAAAACATATTTAACTTGTGATGGATCAGCTGCTGTAAAGCTTCATTGACTTTCCATGCATAGTTTTTCTTGAGTTGTTGTATGTTTTTTAAGATTCTTATTAATATGTATTAAAAGTTGCTTAATGGCTTAGTTTCTTCTGAACTAACTAAGCATTGTTAATAACAGTCCAAGTTGTTTTATTAATAGAATGTTTGTGTATACTTTGTACAGTATATTCCATTGCATGGTCAAGGACTTTCCCAGTTCTTGAAGTATTAAAACATTATACATATATATTTCAGTATTCAGAGTATTAAGTTATAAAAATATAAAAGTTGCCATTTTATTTAGCATAACATCTATTCTATGCACAGATTGCCCTTTTCAACAATCAGCTTAATGTAATAGGGACTGCTGATTTCAGCATGCAGTCGCACATCATAAGTCCTTATTGGAAAATAGGTAGTAGATAAGAAAAATATTTCAGTTAATGTGCTTTTGGAATAAGGATTTACCACATGAACATTTGTCTTTCTTGATCTGTGATAGGCAATATATGTAATATATAAAATATTACATGTAAATGCATATAGACATAAGCATTATGATTGTAGTTATGCACATTTAAAAATAATAAATAACCTTTGTTGTATTGAAGAGTTTTCAGTGAAAATAAATGAATACTGAAATCATTTTTGTCATCACATTGTCATAAAATGAATTGGCATTCATTTCAGCATTTATCACAATGACAACAATGACTCCATGCCAGCAAAAACATGCTCGAACCGTATGTTTTTGAATATGCATGCAAAGCCTGTTATATAAAATCATAGTCATTTCTTCATGTTGTCATCAACAGTGAGCCTGAAATAGTTATTTGAGTATGATCAACCCTAGTACACTGAGAGGGCTTTTAAAATTTCTGAGCACAAAGGACAATTGTGCTTGTTTAAAATAAATTGTGGCACTTTAACTTCACTTGAACTGGATCTCTGTTGTATTAGGATTAATGGCACATTAGCTAAATTAAATTTACTCCTAATTTAACATGGTATGAAAATGTCAAAAAGAACAGTTTTCAATGTGTGTGTGGGTGGGTGGGAGGGAGTTGTGTTCCAACAATCTCATTTGTCCCTACTTGACAGAAATTATTCATGCATGAGATTGATTGATCCCAACAGGAAGAAAACAATGTTTACATCTTCTGTACAGTGTCTGGAAAGTTAACAGGTAAAATAAAAAATGCTGAGTGAAAATGTATAATTTCTTATGTATTCAATGCCTTTAAGACTACAAACTTGTATTTTTTTTCAATCATGGGTTTATCATGGATTAGGGAATTATTACATTACAGAGATGACAAATACAGGTACATAGGGTGTAGCAGCTATCATTGACATTGGTCTTCATCTTTCTACATCATTAGCAGGGGTTCAGATGTAGCTGCTGTCACAGGAAATGTGAACTGGGTATTTAAGGTGAAATGGAGGTGACCAAGAACGTTTTAAATACAATGCTCTATGAACTGAAATACAATGAATTCTAAATAAAGCAAATAAAACATTAACAAAGAGTAAAATAAATCAGAAACCCTCACCATAATACAAAGATTTTTTTTGGTTTGTTTGAACAATTACTGCATTCTTGAACCATTGGATTCTGAGAAGTCTTCTGATGTTTGGTTACAAACGTACAGTAACTATTCAGTACTGAGATATATACTAGTTTTTATATTCTGTTCTTGCTGTTCTGTTCTTGCATCCCAAAGCTTGCTGCGTTTATTGTATGGCCCAATACATCTATTAGAGAAACTACATTTTCTAAAATGTTCCCAGCTAAATACTACAAGATAGAACTCAGTGGGAAATACAATTAAATACGGTTTTGTTTAAGAGTGTGTTGCTTTTGTATTATTATACAGAGATGATTGTATAAGTAGATTGGGAACTGGCACTGAGAGGTTGTTTTCTGAATGTTTATTTAGAACCTGTTTTCTTACGGGTTAAGCAGTTGTTCTTGTATTTTGACTTTCCCGTGTTCTTATTTGCTGGCTTATTTCTGTTTTCTGATTGATTCCACATTTCTACGATCTAATAAGCTGATCAGGCCCTGTGATGTCATTGATGCATAGCACACCTTAAGAACATACACATCAATTACAATATTAAGCCCCTCTCTGATTGAATTCCTACTGTATATGAAATTCGTGTGGCAATTTAAAAAAAAGGTATACCTCTGATATATTTTTTATCTTATCTGTGTCCTAACTGTGTTATGTCTACTGATGGTATCTGCTCATTTTCCATATTCTTATTACTTTTACACATGAAAATTTCTGTTTTTGGTGAAAGAACTATTTCACTGACTCTAAACTGCAGTGGATTGCTCATATTAATCTCCTGAGAAAGCCCTTAAACTATGCAAGGACAGCTTTTTGAAAAACAAAATGACTGAGAAATTGTACTGAGAAAAGACATTTTTTTAAATGGAGTACTACTTCATACTGTACATACAACACCATTTAGGTAGGCATACGTTTCACTGAAATCCTGTAGAATGAAAAAAATTCTCTACTGCAGCTTCTCTTTACAATGTGTCCTCAGACTTTTGAACGGTCCTGTATGCTTTCATTCCAGTTGAGTTCTCAGTCCCAAAATTGAGCCATTAATTGATGTATGATCCATTTGAACTCTTTAATTGTTTAAGCTTCTAAACATTTTGAACATTGCTCTTTAACAATGTTTCATACTGTATGTAGCTTAAGATCCCCAACTTTTGAGTAAGAAAAAAACATGCACAGGTCACAGGTCAATTACAGTTGTTATTGCAATTAAGGATTCAATTAAGTAACGAGATCAGTTAGAACATAAAGCCGCAGGTATATGGGTTCCCAGCACCAATACATGGCTTTATTGTAGAGGCTTGATGTACCAAGGATCATGTTTCTCACATTTTGTTTATGTGAGACATACAGTTGGCCATATAGCCTAAATCCTATCCCATTTTCTTTTTCCTTTTTCTTCAGATGTACTGGTAAATGGGAAGCCTTGTGACTGTGATGTTGTAGCTGACTGCAAAGTAGGAGATCCAGTGCCTCTTGAGGTGAAGTTGACTAATTGGAGCAAGCATGCAGTGGGTCCCTTTGCACTGACCATCATTCCCTATCAAGACTACCAGAATGGAGTCCATAACTATGATCTACAAGATGCTGTCACCTTCATTGGATCCAATACCTTTTACATTGACAAAGTGAGTGAAATTGTCAATGTTCGGTTTGCAATAGTAGGCTTCTCCAGAGTTTATGCTTCCATTTAAAAGGCGTAAAGTTATCCAATTTATAATTTCTTGACATAATAAGGAGTCAGATTTGTATACCTCAAACCTGATCATTTTATCAGACAGCATTTCTAAACCCTCTACCTACTATTGTTTTTGTACAGTATATGTATGTTCAGGGTTTATTCTCTTGGATTTGCAGGTTTCTATCTGATTCACTTTCACTTAAACTGCTTCTAAAAAAAATTGTAGTATGGTAAATTGTACTTGTGTGGTAACTGTTGTTGTGGGTTCTAATTGGCAAAATAATGCCCATGACCTTATTGATCTCTTATCACGGCCACAGTAGTTTCCAATGATGTTGAAAAGTAGTTTAATAAAATTCCTTTTGCACTGTGGAACGATTGCAGAATGTATATAACTTTCATCTACACACACATTGTATCTGGACATAGATGAATATCCTACCTATACTACATCATTTTTGAATCAGTGATGGAAAACAATTCTGCACGTTCATTTATAACTCATGTCATTGGATTTATGGAAACTTCTAAGAATAGTTCCAGATGAAGAAAGCTTGTAGCATTTCTATGTTTATGAGATCAACAGACGGCCTCTTTTCTATTTTTTTTTTTGTACAGTAGACATTTTTTTGTCTACTAAGTGATTTTTTCAGCGATTTATTAGTTTTATTTCTAAAACCGCTTATCATCGTAGAATAAATTGAAATGAAGAACCCTACATACTGTATGTTGTATAAAGTTGGTAAAATACTCATTCAAAAACATTTCCTTCCTCTGTTTTAGGTGAATCCCACTGAAAACATCATCTGTGACGGTGCTCTTTTATTCCTCTACACTGGAGATTATTACCTGAACATCAAGTTTCATGATGACAATTCTAGCCGGGAGCTTCCCTTAGCTTGGTTCTGCTTGCCAAGTATTCATATCAAAGCCGTGGACCCTGAATTTGAAACCAAATTTTAAACAGTGTCAGCACTACCTCTTCCCCTGCTCTTCCCCCTCACCCCCCCCAACCCACCCCCTCAGGTTTCTGTATATTTTGGAGTGATATTGCTTACTGAAGCAAATGTATTCTGCTGAGGATGTTATGCTGGGGTGACATGACATAACAGATATTCTGAACTCAATCAAGGAGGACGTATTAAAAAAATGTATTTTAGGATAAAAATGCCTTTGACTTACCGTATTTCTATGTTGCGACTATACCCCTGAAAAAATAAAGAATGAAAAAAAAACTAGTATGTGAACATAGATTTCAAGAAAAGGACAAAATAAATCTATTTAAGGCAGCAACTTTTATTGTAGCTTGGGTCACATTTACAGTGACCCAGAACTATCAGTCTCAGTTTTATCCCTTGGACAAACAGGCATTAAAGAGTATACCTAAGCAGCAATGCCATGCACAGTGGGAGGTGCAGATTACTGCTTCGTTTTTAGAAGGCACGATCTCGAGCCCAGGGCCTCTACAAAGACTAGATTCTAGAAACAGTACAGTAATCAGTCTGAATTTCACTTAGTGTATTGTCCCAGGAACATTGCAGTATAAAATATACAAATGTATGTAATACTTATAACCAAGTATCTTTTGTGCAATGAAGAGAAATAAAAACAACAAGTCATGATTTAAACAATAAAATTGAAGTTAATATAAGAATAAGAAAGTGTTTTACGATATTTGTATTTGGCTTTTGCCCCATTAAAGTACCATAATTTCAGTATAGAGCTCAGCTGAATATTTTATGCTAATCCACATAAAACTGAAGTTTAATTACATGAGTACTTTTTTATTTTGTGTATTTTGAGAAGAGTATACTGTTACGACAAGCATCAAGTATAAAATCAACAATTAGACTGTGAAACCATCTGCAAATAATTGAAAGAAAATGATCATAATTAAGGAATTGTAAGACAGCCTAATATTGTACATACTGTACCCAAGGAATTGCAATATCTCTGTCTTTTTGAGACACCAAATTGGCCAAAATATATGCCAATTTGGGGGATTTGTCCAAATAGTTTGTGAGCAGGTCTATCAACTCCTAAGGAATACAGTTGCTTCTGGTACTGCTGATTTTTCATTGTATGTTTGGTTACACTGTCAATGTTAAAATAAGCTGAAATGTCTAGAAATGCAGCATTTGTGAGTATATGAACTTCAACACCGCTTTGTGAATAATTATAAAAAGTTGGTGATCACTTGAGTTTTTGACTTGTCGATAATATTACCTGTGCCTCAATAAATATTCCCTCTGAAAAATAAAACTCAATGCAATTGCAGGAGATTAATTTAAGAAATTCACATATACAAAATTTTTGTGTAATAAAATTTTAAGTGTAATCAGATTTGTTTTGGTGGAAATAAAGGTTGGATATAATCTTTTTCAAATGTGAAAGAAACAATTATTTTAAAACTAAGTTGGAATAAGTGAATGCTTTTTTTGCTTTTGGAGTTTCAGTATAGAATGAATTAATATCAAGATCAAACATTGTAATCATTTTAATTGTTTTAAGATGAATATGTTTAATTATAGAAAACGAAAACAACCTAAATAAGCACGAAACCAATTAGTGAGATAAGTCTTGAGAAAATAATATAAGCTTTAATAGATTCCAAATGGATAAATATTAATCTTTTTAACAATACCTGCTTTGATGTATTAATGTTTTAGATTATCACAAGAATAAAGTCTAGTAGATTTCAGATTTTAGAGGGAATTCCAGATCTATTTTAGTTTCTAAATAAAGGCATTACAGTTGTTATACATATGTTATATACTGTATATGTAGAAAGTTTGAGAAGCTGCCATCAGATCTTGATAAATCTTGTTTTTACAACCAAACTTCGTCACATTAACTTTAGTTTCACTATAATAAAGCCATGCAATTAAAAAATTGAAATTTGTAAAGAAAGACACATGATTAAATATGATCAGTGGATCATTATTTTGTATTGTTTTATAAAATGGTAAATACTACATCACATTAGAATGACAGTTTCCTTAAAAAAGAATTCCTTCTGCATCCGATTGTAAAAGCAAGTGGTATTCACAGCCCCTTTTCTAATTCACTACACATTTTAACAGAAGTTAACTTTCAGCACAGAATAATGACTGCATTTCAAGAAAGACTGTATTGTGAGATGTTTCACAAGCATAATTTAGTCCTTCCAAGACAATACTTCTCAGAAAGTAGTCAGGTTTGAATGGGAAAGACGTCACCCATCAGGTGTGGAATTGACATCTGGACATGTCGTGCTTGTCCTTTCCCGAAAGTCCAGGCAATCTCAGTCTTTGCATTTGGGCCAGGCACCACATTCATCAGCGTGTCACAATGACAGGGGGCATCAATGTCTTCACACACTTCATGCAACACTTGCTCACCTTGATGAAGCTCTATGGCGAAAGTGTGGCCAGCTGTGAGATGTGTCAAATTCCAATGCAGTCTTTTTTCTCTCCCTGGCTGTCTTGCCTCCTGTCAAACAGACAGTATTATTAAACTCTTAAATATTAGAAACACATTGCCTTGCATCAGGTGGTCCCACTGGAAAGAGTAGACAGAAGAATATTCCCAAAGCACTTTGTCAAAAACATTTAGTACTAAATTTAAGGGAAATTTAATGTGTACGGATACAGCATTGAATTCTTGTTAATGTATCAGTATTTGTTTACTCTATTAATGAGCTACTCTGGCTAAGCTTTTATTATTTGTTTTAGGACAAAGTAGTGTAATTTTTTTTATATTTTCTAAAGCTGAATCTTTCTGACTAAGCAAACATTGAAAATAAAAATATCTGTGCTGTGCCTCAATCACAAAACCGATGCTGTCAAAAGCCATAGATTTCAATCTCACACTAAAATTGCTGATCTGATGTTTTGAATTATTCATCCCTGCTATCTCCTAACAGCTGAAATTGTTCAATGATTATCAGCTTCGATTGTAATATAAATACATGAAAAAAAAAACTTTTTAAGCCATTGAAATGCTAAAAATAAACACTATTATTTGAGTCAGTCTGTTACACATCATACCATATACAGCCTTTGGATATCCCTCGAGGTGTTATCTCAGAATAACATACCTGCTGTTCAGTTCTACTCCTCGATGCATTGCTTGAAAGCATTTTAATTAAGTTATGAATCTCTTAACAAATTGCTCTTCACAGATATTTCCAATTAGAATAATGATGTTTTAAACTTTATAATGGTGCCACATGCATTGTTGCTAAGCGCATGTTCGTGTATGTCTCCGTATCAAATACACAAAATTGCTAAAAATCATTAAATCTGTTGTGGAATTTTAGGCCAACCTTAATCGAGTGGCCGCTGTACTTGAATATGCCTAGGAAGCTAACAGCGGTTAACCCAGATCAACCCAAAGGTTAATTTTCAAATTGAAAGCTTTCTCTACACTAAGCATGTCTGTCATTATCCTTGGTTCCTTTTGCAATTCACAGCTCAGACTGTTACATTTTTCGGTCATCTGTTAGAAATGTCAGGTCAAACTGCCACACAATGTCTGAGATTGTGGTAGTGCTTTTGTTTCTTGTCTCCATAAACGGTTTGATTTATGATACAAATAAAACATTTTCCCTTTGCTAAGCCTCCAGACTTCAGTATGCACCACGCATCACAATACTCAGATGAAAGTTCACTAAGAAGTGATTTAAACTGATAGTGTTGTAAAGCTTTTGCGCAACTCAAATTAATTTTAATAAGAGGCATCATAACATGATTAAACCTTATTGCTTTACATCAAATTACCTGTTGGTGAATGATACTGTGGTATTTCAAGCAATGAAGGAAATCAGGATCTGCTCTTAATGAAACCAGCACGACAGCCAGTCAATGCTGTGCACCGTTGAGTTTTATTAATATGAGCTTGTGGATTGCATGTTCTTTTGACAAAACAATTCTTAACCCTGTTAAATATATTGTTTCCTCCATTTTGTTTTTCAAAGGTAACAATACCACTTCAATGCTGAAGTCCTTAAACACTCTCCCCCTCACTGAGCAATGCTGCATGAATCAATTCAGCATAATGATTGGAAAACTAAATGCAAATCTTTTCTTTTCCCCCCATTTAATGTCCCGAAACATTTGTTTTCGTGCTCTACAATGTTTTGATCTGCTCATACAGAGTTTCCAGTAGTTTGGTGAAAATTGTGGCAAGTGTCTGGAGATGAAGAGTAGCAGGAGTGACAGAGGCGAAACATTGCAAGTTCTTTCAAGAGATGTCTGTGTCTGACAACCCTGAAACAGAGCGCTAGAAAACACCCAGTCAAGGTGTTACAGGTGAGTATTTCAACAATCTACAACATTTTATAAATGTATATCCACCCATCATTACCAATGCTCAGGTTGTGGAGTAAATAATAATAAAAGATGCTGCACTTCACAATAGGGAATATATACACTATATTTCTGACGCTAACCTTACCTGTAATGTAAAGAAGTACAACTTAGAAATGTATATTAGAAAGTAACCCTTTTTCAGAATCTTGGTGCCATTTGTATTGCAGTATTTATCCAAAAGATATTTCATATAATGCAACAATCAGAAAAATGCAAAATTCTGGTCCTCATTCCAAAGCACTTCATGAACATATTCACTTTCTTGCAAGCATTCATTTTGTTTTAGAGATACTCTTGAACTCGGTTCTGGCTCGTGGTCTTGAAAAATACTGTTTTAATATTTAAATGCTATTTTAGGAACCTTTGCTTTTTCATAAATGTTTTATGTAGACTAGACAAATACGTGTACCCCACAATGTGGCTATGACATCATTGGCACAATAATTTCAACTGCAGTCATCCTAGTTTCTTATATTATTTTTTCACATTTTTAGTGGCTTCCTATTAAGTCTTATTGGAAGACTCCTGGCTGTTTCAGCGATCCACCCTTGAAGAAGTCAGCACAGTCTTCTTTTTCTTTATCCTTTTTTTCCCTTACTCAGATCTTCATTAAACACTAAACACTCTTTTTTAGTCCAATCAAGAACTGGATTATTCTCACCAACTCATTCCACATCAATCACTCAGAATCTTAACTTTGTTAATTACTCTTCCACTCATTGAAACCAGCTCTTTTCATTAGTCTATATATATATAGAATTCTATATTGGCTGATCCTGTTTGGCCAACTGCTCCCTTTTCAATAATCAGTGTCCTGATAATCCTGATATGTCTTATTTCACTCTTAGTTATGGGGAGAAGATATGCTGCTATCTTGCCCTACTCCTCCAGAAGCTTACACCTCCCATTAAACTTGGTTCAGCTCGCTAACCCTGTTCATTGGTGCATTTCAACTGAGCCAGGCACATTCAATTAAATTCAATTTATTTTTATATAGCACCTTTCACAACAAGATTACCCCAAAGCGCCTAACAATGCAATTGACAATACATTTTGATGACTACAGCCTAGGAATGTAGAATGCCAGTCCTCTCTCACCTTCAGGCCTACTTCACAAGTTTTTACTGTCTCCCCTCACAAATAACTTCAACAGCCCCTTCCCAGGTACCACACAGATCATCTGTCAAACACCTGTGGTGTCCCTTAGTACATTCTAAGCTGTATGTTCTTAAACCCCATCGCTCACAGGGTCCACAGGCCCATAAATCAGCTTAATCCATTACTATTGAAACCCTCCCATTTTAGTCGAAGGGAATAGCCAATTGCACAGTGCCTGTGTTCCTTCCCTTGTTGGAATCTCACTCCCTCTTGGGGGCCAATAATTCAATTAGAAAAGGTGTGTCTTATTTCACCCTGCTTTTCCCTCAGTAACAGATCTCTTTCCTCTGTCTTTTACTATTTCAAAGATACACATTGTATTGTTCACAATTTAATTGTCACAAGAATATATTTTAAACTCTTAATAAATGTATTAATCAGCTAAAAGTTGTTACATGACAATCATTACTTATGAAGTGAAGCTAAAAGATTATTTTGTGTTGATTCAAAATGAATGTTATTGTCAGTAAGTAGTAATTCATACTGTAAGTAGCTTATCTTCGTTATACATAAATGCATTAAAGTCATTCTTGCTTTCACTCTTTCAGGACTCTTGGAGCTAACAGAAATTAGGATGACTGACAACATGTTGCTAAGCTGATCCACAGCTCAGAAAACAAAAAATGGACCCAATGTGGTTTTCTAGATCACAGAAACTCAAAGACAGACAATTAGGGAAGTCAACAGCCAGGGTGAGCGAAAGTCCAAAGTCAAGAAAGAGGTCAAAATCCAGAAGTCAGGCAAGGAGTCCAGGGAGAATTCAGCAAGTGCAAAATCCAGATCTCAAAGTGTTGAAAACAATACTGAGCAAAGCTTGAACAAAGAGCAGGGGACGCGTTGTGATGTACACTGGGCAAGCAGGGATTGGCTAATGCTCTCTGCTTGATCTATGCCTCAGCTGTACAGATGAAGTAGGCACCAGAGGTTGAGGTGCCCTCTGGTGGCGGGATGCTGGGACTGTAACACATGCTTAGTGTGAAGTTGCTACTCAACTAAAAAAATTAAATCAAATATACTAACTGCTTCAGATTAGTAGGTTATACAGTATAATCTGATTGTGTACTGTGGCAGGTTTGACTAATATTTTGTCTCAAATTCTTTTGCTTTTCAAAACTAATGTTCATACAGTACTTTGCAAAGGAAAGGCAGGAACAGCTTTATGCTTACAATACTTAGGCATATGAAATAATGGAGTTCATCAGTCATGGTAACACATTTGAGAATGTGAGAAACAGGGAATTGTAGGTACGTCAAAACTAAAACAAGGTTATGATAGTAGTCAAGGTCAAAAGGCAACTGAGAGGTAACTTGATAAAGGCTTCTATACTGTATGTAATACCTTACAAATGTGTCAAAAGTGAATTTAATGTGCACACAAAAAGTGCCTAAAACACATTTTATTACATTAAATGTTGAGCTCCAGGCAAACTCCTTGGCCATATTGGATGTAAAACTATTATATCTAGGTCAGTGAAGCATGTCCAGCTGTTGCCTAGAAGGCAAAAAAATGAAACAATTTATCGATGATGTAAGACTTTCTAGAAAGAACAAGGGGAAGTGCCCTTTCAAGCTCTGTAGATCTGATAGCTTTTGGGTCAAAATTAATTTATACTCTTATTTTATATGTACTGATAAGGTCCTTGAGTGCTGCATTCCTGCAGGTTTTAGATTTCCCTTTCAATTAACATCTGATTAAGGCATTGAAACATTGCTGATTGGTCTTCTTAACCTCTTAATTGGTTCAATTAAGTAATTAAAGTCTGTGATAGAAGGGAAAACAGGCATAAATCCCATGAAAACCCTGTATAAAAGATTAAACTACTTTTCTCCTTTGTGTGATCTAAAATGCAAATATAAATCTCAATGCATTTAACTCCTGATATTAATCTTGTTTCACACATAAAAGTGTTCAATTTGAGGATTACAAAATATTATTTTAAAAATGTGTATACTTTATCTGTA